CACACCGACTATGTGAGAAACACCTACCATCTCCGTATCCTCGTGCACCACATCGTGCAATCTCTTGAGTAATAATGAGCTCGTGGAAATAGTTGAACTAGGAAAGCACCTAAGTTAGGGCGAGACGAAGAATTCAGGATATGATTGTGTTTACCTCCTCAGGTTTCACGAGACCGTCCATCAAGGATAACCCTTGAAGGTGTTTTCCTGGACCCATACGCATTGCGTGCAAGTTCACTGCACTATACAGAAATAAGAACCTGAACGACGAGAAGTAGATTAACATACGCCATCTTATCAATTACGCTTTGACTGGGTCGTTTGCCATCCTCTTCGCGGGCCTATCACGGAAATTGAATAAGGCACGGGTCATGAAAGAAATCCTGATGCCTCACCTGTGCATCCTCATAAATGAACTCGTCAACAAAGCGACGCATGGCCTGTTGAAAATTCCTGTGGTTCTGTATAAAAGTTCAGGGAAGAGCTCCGGAAAACGATTGGAACAGCTCACCTCGGTGTAGTAAGGGCTGTGATACCCCTGTGACAGCCAGGTAGGCTCTGCATACGGGACGTCACTGATTTCTCCGACAATTCGGCTGTATACGACAGGTTGTTCGCCTTGAATAGTACCAATCTGAAGGCGTTGGTATTGAGGTCGCTCCAAAATTTCATGACGATGCAACCCGTAGAATGCCTCCGTAGCGTCCTGGCCAGCTGAGGAACAAATTTCATTTGAAACTGTCATGCATAGCTGTCATGGGAGGCATCCTACCAATTTCCCCATCCGTCAAGACAGATATCCCTCCGGGATGCAAGTCCTTAAACCGGGACAGATTATATACCTTTGCGTCGATGACCACCCACTAAAAAAGATAATTGTTCGTCTCAGTAACAGTTTAAGATGCTCTACCGAGTCAACACATACCAAATCATCCGGCTTGTTATGCTACATTTCCGCGACGGTCTCAGAAAGTGGTCTCAAGGCCTTAAGTGAAATTTTCAACGCACCTCAGCAACCTCCTCCAGAGTAAATTGTTTCAGTTCTTTGGCGGCCATGGGAGCAGGATGTCTTAAAAGACCCTGTCGGACCTGTCATCGTCTTATACGGGAGACTCATCTTCAGTTTCACGTGTTTGTCCAGTTCGGCAAAGCGAGCCGGCTCAACATGACAGATTTGTGACAGATTATCAGATGAACCAAGCTGATTACCCAAGTACCCTTTTGCTTCCGCTTCTTCTCATCCCGTGCCATCAACTGCCATCGTGGACATCGCCTCTCGCGACGTTGCGCTAACGGCCAAGGTACTGTACAGTTTGGTGTCTATTTTCTGATCTGTCTGACGACAACTACACGATACAAAGTTGAATCCAGCAATCATTGCAAGTCAGCAACAGGCTGCTTATTGTTTTTGTGTAAAACATCCGTCAGTAGCCTTCTAGCCTGCTGGTATCCGTAAAGCAACTAATGGATGATGGGGCTTCTCAGAAATCATGAGTCCAATGAGCTCAGTCTCTTTTCTTGACGATGATTCCCAGAGAGAGCTGGACGACCTTAATAAACGAATTACCGCCCTGCAAGAGAGGAAGCACGCCCTAACGTTTGAAGCCTTTCAAGTCCACACCACCATACGCACTCTTCAAAGTCGTGCTGCTCATATTACGAACAAGACTGCTCCTGTATCTCGTCTTCCATCAGACGTGCTTGCAATCATCTTCGAGGAGAGCCGGCGGCTACTTATACCTTGGAGCAATGTAGTAAAGCGCCCACTTTCTTCCGAGGTGCAGCTATCCCACGTTTCATCTAGATGGCGGGAAGTAGCACTTTCAACCCCTGCTTTGTGGACAACTATCAGGTTCCCGATTTTGCACAAAGAGGCTGCCGCTATGGCATATCTCCAGCGGTGCAATCAAGCGCCCCTCAGTGTTCACATAGGCCCAAGAGTTTCTGATCCGGATTTGCTGCGCTTTATTGCCGCGCAATTTGTTCCCCGATGAACCAATTTCGCGAGCTCACTTTCGACAACCGACGAGCGCCAGGAACTCTGCGCATTGTTTCCCTTGTTCGCAGAAGAACCCGCTTCGACCCTAAGAAGATTGAGGATTTGTTGCAATGACACCCGCAGCGCTTCTAGTGTTGTTCCTCGCCTCGATATTTTCAAAGCAGGAGCGCCACTCTTATCTGATGTACGCCTCAGCGCCCTTGCAGTCGGACTGCCCCAGTGTTCTGCAACCACTCTGCATCTTGAACCGCAGCCAGGACCCGGGAATCCTTTGTCCAGACTTGCTTTCCTCGATATCCTTGCTCCCCTATCAGCTACCCTTACTACCCTACATCTGAGAGGGTTCATTAGCGGGTTTCACCAAGAACCTGGTAGCGCACCTGTTGAACTCCCTGCCCTGAAGGAGTTATTAGTGTACGGTAATACCCTGAACCACGGATTCAACGTTTTCCGCAACATCTCCACTCCTGCCATCAGAACTTTGTCCCTTGTCAATGTTAGGCGACAGGGCTTGTCTTCAATTCACAAATTTATTGCCAGAACATCTCCAGAGCACTTCCAACATCTCCACACATTACGATACATAAATTGCGATATTGACGATGATCTCGACGTTTACCTCCCTCATGCAACATCTGCTCTCACTGAACTTGCTGTGTCCATCAAACATCACACTCATCTCCTGCGACTTCTGCTGAACAGCGATAGACAAGCTGCCCTTCATGGGGTGCCTCCATTGTGGCGCAATCTCCGCACCTTGACTCTCCACGTTTCCAAACCATTGGACCGAGAAAGAGAGGATGTGGAATCCGACGAAGAAGATGATCCGCCCCCAACGATGGGACTACTATTGGAGGTAGTACAGGAGAGGAGAGCGGTGGGCAAGCCCCTCGATCTTCTTCGGATCGAGGGTCCGCACGCTCGTTCATTCTATGAAGAGTTCACAACTCTTCTCGTGAAAACACACGAAGATCTTCATACTGAACTCTTTTCAGCATCTTTGCCTTCTTCAGTCGACGTTCAGGATTCAGAAGTGGATTGGGCGTTTGCTGCTCACTACATTGGAAACCAATATCGTCTTTTCATGTTCAAGAAGCATCAACAATTTGCCCCCCCACAGTACTCCGGCTATCCATCCCCGGGGCTTCCAGTCATGGCATACCCTTCAACACATACACATATTCCATAGAAGGATCTGTTTCTCTCAATCTAAAACGGGACTTGATCCTCAACTTTGCTGCTCGTTATCTGTAATTTACTGTACTTCGACATGATTTCACGTCATACCTAGGGCAATCATAGAAAAGCACAGCCACCGGAACGGTGGATGAAACAATGCGCCCACTTCCGTTAAATCATATGATGGAGCCAAACCGCACTGAGCATCATGACAAGATTTCGGATCCGCACCAGCACCGATTGATTGCGAGAATTCGCTTGGTCAGAGTTTTGTCTTCATTCTCTGACCTTCTACTGCTGGCTCACGCCCGCACCTTGTCCGATCAAGTAGTCCCCTCCGACATCAGCCTCCTCAAAAAAACGTGTTCTCAACGTGTTTTTCAGCCGCCCTTTAACCCTGGGAGGTCCACAGGAAAATATCACTGAACTTCTTTGTTCTTCGATGTGAGCCTCAACATGGCACCTTTTGCAGCAGCTGACTTATTTCATAGACGTGCCGTCGATGAACCACGACCAGGCTAGGGTCAGCAGCAATACGAGTCAGGAAGATTTGGATGAGATAACACAACAAATTCGGGCACTTCAGTCTTCGCAGGACGAGCTGTCCCGCTCGATCCGCAATCTACAGGTCCGTGCAGCTCGCATACAGAACCAGAAGGCAGCGGTGTCACGTATCCCCTCTGATGTCCTCTCGATGATATTTGAGGAGTGCCGTCAGCTCAATCCACAATGGTCCGGCGTTCTCTTCCTTCTCCACCAGTCACCCGTTGAGGTACGACTGTCGCATGTATCAAGTCATTGGCGTGAGGTAGCCCTTACCTCACCTTCCCTTTGGTCCTCTGTTCATTACCCATTCGCGCATAAAGAGGATTCGCTCGTGGAATATTTGAAGAGGTCAGATGGGTCGCTTCTCGACGTATACATCGGGCCATGGAGACAGCACCCTCAAATTGAGCGTGTGTTGACCGATATTATCTTACCACACCTTTCCCGTTTCAGACAATTGGTTCTCGACGCCGTTTCACGAGAGACTTTGGCATCGCTCCTCGAAATGTTTCGTGACGTGTCTGCCCCTGCTTTGACACGGCTGCGAGTGATGTGCAGGGGACCAATGTCGACTGCAGGTCCCATCGCTTCTGCAAAGCTCTTCACCAAGGGAGCCCCTTTGTTATCCGATGTTAGGTTCGACAGCGTTGTAGTCATCCTCCCCAAAACAGAAGCAAAAACGCTCCATTTTTGCCCGCCACTAGGGCCACCCTTCCCGCTCACACGCGAGAAACTCTTCCGAGCAGTGTCGGCATTCCCATCCCTCCGTAGGCTCCATGTGAAATCGGCTATAGAGCTGAATAATGTAACCCCTATTCCGCTTATCCGCTTGCCCTTATTGAGGGAATTAGTGGTACATGGCCTCGCCGTGTCAACAGGCATCCGTATATTTGATGTAATATCCACGCCAAATATCGAGAGCCTCTACCTCGTGGATATGAATTGCTCCGCAATATCTGCTATTCACAGATTCATGACACGGTCTTATCCGGATGCGTTCCAGTCCTTGCGCGTGCTACGGTATATCAGGTGCGAGTTTAGCGAGGACATGGACATCCATTTCCTTCGCGCAACCCCTGGTATCTCCCAACTGCTCATACCTATCGATAAAACAAATTACCTGATACGCATGCTCGTGAACAGTGACAAACAAGCAGCCATTCACGGCTGCGCACCACTGTGGCCAGAGTTGCGCACTGTTACCCTGCACACACCTGGGTACTGTGCGCAGGTGGTTGGCGCGGGCGGTGTCCCCGACGACGAGCCTTCGCCTACGATGAACCTCCTTCAGGAACTGGTTACAGGGCGAAAGATGTTGGGCAGACCGCTAAGCAAGCTCTGCTTTAAAGGACCAAATGCAGGACCCTTTGCGAACGAGTTCCACTGGGGGCTCAATCGAACGAAACACTTCGTACATACCGAAGTTGTTTTCTGTCAAATCCCTGCTTTATCACAGGATGGAGGACAGGAATACGACTGGGCTGTCGTCGCTGAGGCATATGGTATGCAGTTGCGGCAGTTTCTTCAGCAGGTTCAAGGCATACGGCATCAGCTAGCTACTATTCTTCCACCTAACTTTTCGTTCCAGCAGCTACGAAGACGAGTAGACGGGCCAGCATGATAGATATTTTACGAGAAAATCTGACTCACACCTTTCGCGTACTTGATCACCATCAGTTTCGGAGCATTAGTATTCGACATTTATTCATGGTCTTTAAGACGTTATATTTCGTTCTTCATAATTTCGATTTGGGACGTTCTAGGTCTCGTGCTTCTTTACCGAATGCTCCCTCAGTGACAAGTTGCCTCATGTTCTCTTCAGACAATCCGAGTTCTCTGAGAATGTCTGCTGTGTGTTTCCCTGGATCTAGTGTTTTGATTTCGTCTGGTAGAGGTGATGGTGATGTTCTGCTCAGCTCCGGATGGGGACTAGGGTAGATAGATCCATGGAGTTGAGCTGCTTCCGTGGGAGACAGGACTGGAACTGCGCAAGCATCAGTGCCTAATGATGGCAAATCAATCAGCATGAGAACCCTTCTGTGATGCAATACTTGCCGTGGAAAACCTCCGTCCAGAAATCTCTTGGTTGTGTTCTGAACCCATCTTCAAGATACCTGCGAAGTTCGGGCCAATCTTCCTTCGTAGACTGCGTCGACTGTGACGGTGACCAACTCCCTTGCTTTCCACTGGATTTCATGACCTCGTTGAATTTGCCAATAAACTGCGCAAAGAACTGGGGCTCCAAACACCCTACGCTCATCCACTTTCCGTCTGAGCAGGTGTAAACATCGTAGAATGGCGCGCCACTGTCAAGGAGATTCGTGCCTCGCGGTCCTCCCCAGGCACCGCTCCCAACACTTAGAAGTGGAAAAGACGATACATAACGCGAACCAGAAACCTGCCACCTATATTTATAAATCATTGAGACTAAATGCCCCGGCACGTACCATGTCCACATTCACGACTTGTCCACGGCCACTCCTACCTCGCTCGATTATAGCCAGTAATATACCATTCGCACACAGTAGGCCGCCTCCAGCAAAGTCAGCAATTAGATTCAAAGGAAAGGTGGGCTTGTCGATGGTTCCCGGAAGCATCTGCAAGAGTTTAGACATGCTTCGTCAAAGTACAAGCGAGCCGCACGGAGAGAATGCCGCTAAGGGCGATATAATTGATGTCATGACCTATGGCAGAAATCTTAAACTAGGCCATGCGTATATGATGATACTTACCGGCCATAGTAGAGTGCGAGCCTTAAAATCATTGAGAACATGCGAGAACATACACTTGGCATGCGTACCATTTCTTGGGAACCTTGAGGGAACATCAGTTGGATGGGATTTCAGAAGCTCATGTGTACCCTCACCCTGCGAGCCTTGCATATATAAGTTTGTCATTCAGACCTTCCCGCCTGTCATTGGTATGAAATACCTCAGGACCGAGCCCTAGTTTCTCAAGCACTCCGGGTCTGAATGGATCAATGAGGACATCTGCTTTAGCAATGAGGTCCTTCGCGACTCGCACTCCGCTCGCAGTCTTCATGTCCAACACAATCGACCGCTTTCCCGTGCAAAGCAGATCTTTGGAAGTTGAGGAAGGGCGATCAATGCGGATGACGGATGCCCCATTGTGAGCGAGTACCAGACCTGCGAATGGACCCGGTGCCAGGCCTGCAAACTGTGGATGTTCGTCGTTTGTTTGTTTCACTTCAACTGCTACGTACTTCTACTACTTTGACGCCACTGAGCGACATTGGTTAGACACTCGACGTCGTTTGTAATCAGTGAGCAGGTGAATACTAGGACTCTCCTAGACAAGCGAAGGAAGATAGTAAACACGCACTTCCTCGGGTTGGTAGCCGAGCACTTCCGAGCTCCGGTTACTTAAGTTAGCCAAGCAAGACTAATTATATCTTCAACTTGAACTCCCTCACGGCGTGACGTGCTGATCATAGTGGAATTGGAAGTTGACCCCTTGGAAAGCTTCGCCGAGCCCGCACTGCTACCTGTCATTTCTTTGGACATATGGTTAGTTCTGAAATTTGAATTCATCGTGGACCATCCGTATAAAATACCGCAAGGTGTGATAAAATGGTATTCTTTGACCTCACCTGTTTCTTTCTGCGGGATGTGGTTCGTGTGTACAGTTCTGCCTTGCGTTGCGTTGGCATACGCGAGACATGTCCTTATGTCTCGCGATGATACCAGTCTGTCCAAATTGACGCTATCCGGCCCAGCTTCGCTTCCGATAGACGCAACACCACCCTTAAACCCTGCCCTCGCAAGTTTCAGTATTGAAACCACCTCCTTTGAAGAATTTATGGGAAACCAGTCCTATCCGAACCAATTTTCTCAGAATCTCTTTGAGAACCTAAAAGAGAGGACTGGGGTTTCAGCCGAAGTACGCATTGGTGGTATCACCGCTGACTCGACATTCTGGGATCCGAATCAGGAGGCTGCACTATACAATTTCATAGATAGTAGGGGTGCACTAATAAACACTACACTGGGACCCCAGTTTTGGAACACTGAAGCTTTTACCACAAGGGACGAAGATCGTCATGACGCTCGTGAGTCATTTACTTATCAGATCATTGGGTGTCGGTCTCTGACTGGCCCGTGTAGGATCTAAAGAGCTTGAATTATACCGGAACCCTTGGTATGGCTGAGGCAGCATGGATGGATCTTGGTTCACGCCAGATTTCTCGCTTCGAAAGTGAGTCATTCGATTCTCCACTGACGCTTCCCGGTCCGACTATACCCCGTCTTCAGTAGGAAATGAGCCAGATCAGTATT